ATATATATATATATATTTTATCATTATGCTGTCACATCTGAATCTTTTTTCTTCATTGGTTATTTAGTTGGTTTTGTTGGGAGAAGGGGTTGATAACTAGTCTACTCTGCTTGTTCATAGATGACCTATACACGTTGTCCCACAGTAGACACATAAATATTTATACATGCATACATACATAGGTATTAATCAGAAAATATATATTTGTTTATATGTGAAATATTTAGTTTATAATCAAATCAATTTTGCAAATGAATTTATTCAAAAACAGCGCAATGAAATTTAACAATAGAAATTAATCAATTTTAACATTTTATTGTACCTTTACTAAAAACCATACTTTTAATAACATCATAGTTTGAATTTTATTTTTAAAGTAAGGTTTTTTTGTTTTCTTTTGTTTTTTTTTTTTTTTTTTTTTTTTTTTTGAGACAGAGCCTCAAGCTGTCCCCCTGTGTTTCTAGGGAGCTCAGCCTGTATGTGCTTTCTCCCACACATGCTGCTCACTCTGGATGTCTGGAAATTCTGTTTGTTTGTTTGTTTAATTTATTCAAGTCAGTGTAGAACAGCACTTGATAAGCTTTTTCGGTAAATGGACAAACAGGTAAATATTTTAGGCCTCGTGGACTAGACTCTGCCATTTTTGTGTGAATACAGTAGATGAGCAGATGAACATGGCGATGTTCCAAGAAAATGTTACTTACAAAAACAGGCAGCGGGGCAGATTGGGCCCATGAGTTATAGTTTATAAATTCCTAGTATAGGTGAACAAAACCCACTCTTCTAGGGATTTGAAAAAGCATTTAAAATTTTTTTAAAAAATAACTCTTGATTGGCAGTGCCTGTAGCTGGGTGGGGCGCCAGCTACATACACTGAGGCTGGAGGGTTCAAACTTGGCTTGGGCCAGCTAAAACAATGACAGCTGCAACAAGAACAAAAAATAGCTGGGTGTTGTGGCAGGCACCTTAGTCCCAGCTACCTGGGAGGCTGAGGCAAGAGAATGCTTAAGCCCAAGAGTTTGAGGTTGCTGTGACCTGTGACCTGTGATGCCGTGGCACTGGATCCAGGGCAACAGCTTAAGACTCTGTTTCAAAAAAAACACCTCTTGATTGAATTAAAGGAATAAACATTAAGAACATTGAGAATATGCGTTTTATTCAAGGAAGTAATTATAAAAACTAGAATTACTGAGCTAAGTGCAGTGGTGCACCTTGCTATCCAGCTACTTAAGAGGCTGAGATGAAAGATCATTTGAGCCTAGGAGTT